TGTTATTGTGAGTTTTGTAGGAATATTGTGTAACTTTTTAGGGATAAAAATACTTTGTATGAAAGTTTTGACATGTCTTGAGATAAAAACTGCTTAAGATGAAACTCTGACATTAGCACACTGACTTTTCTTCATTCTCTTCACCACGGCTGAACCTGTTTGTCAGAAACAAACTTCCCGTGAGGCTCCGTGGCTCCGGCTGACAGCAGGGCCAGATAGACCGGCGTGACAGCGCCCTCGTCTGGTGACTTTGGGGCTTTATCGCCCGCCATGTCGGTGCGAACCCACCCTGGGCAGCAGGCGTTCAGCAGGATCTGTAGAAATAATGCAAACAGGATGAAAATGTAGGTTGGAAATGACTCAAAACTACCAAAATTGTAGCATAAAAAAGGCATTTAAATCTTGTTTTTTCATATTGCAGTGTTAGTTTTATTCCAATCATGTGCAGCCACAGTTAAAATAAATATCTAACAAATAATTAGCAGAACTTATTTAGTCCACTAATAATGCTTTGCTGCAATTCTGACTTATTATTACTCTTATTTGGTATACTAATAGTGCTAATCATCGGCCAGATGTTGCTACTGTAAGTTTTAAATGTTAATAACGATATAAAACCAAATCAGTGTTGTTTCAATCCAACTTTTAGGTGCATTCTTTAAGATATAAAGTCCAATGTACTATTATTTTAGTGTCGTTGTTTTTTTTTCTTGAAACAAGCTGGTAGACTGAATGAAGTTGAAGCTAGATGATGGTTTTGTTGTCGGTTTGATTGAAAGTTGGTATGTTTCCGTTACCCCGTCATTCGGTCGCTCCTTGGACAGACGACGAGCCCGAATCATGGACAAAGTCTGCAAAGAAACACACATTTATAATCACTATCTGCACAAATATGACTTTATATAAGCATTTCAGTCACAGTTTATTAAATCTTCAGACTGTAGACATCGATATAAATCTGTCTTATCAGACTTTTCCTCCATTTTTACACATTTTAAGGCCTCCAGGTGCAACCAGTCGTACCGTCAGGCCGGTTTTGGAGACTCCGTATGCCGTCTCCGGCCAGCCGTCGTCCTTGTGCTTCCCTTTCTGGGCTGTGTCGACAAACCGCTGCATCAGTCCGGCCAGCTCGTCCTCCGTTATGTCCTCGCTGCGAAACCGCTGCTGCAGATCCGGACTGCAGTTATTCAAAGTACGAGAGCCGACAAAGCTGGAGACGTTCACCACACGACCTGAAACATGAAGACAGGGAGAATGTTAGCTGCTCAACAAACCTCTGCTTCAGGATTGAAAACACATAAAAAAAAGAAGAAAAGAAAGAAATCTGTGATCAGATACAGAAGATTAACAAAGTGCATGTTGTCATGTTGTAGATTTCATTTTAAATGGATGAAATGTTTGCTCATCAGTCTACACACCAGTAAAAACACATTTTTTGTATTCAAATCAGTTCATTTGTAATGTTGGTGTGTTTGGCAGCAGGTGCAGCTTTGAGTCTTCTTGGTTCTTCTTCTTGAGCCTCCATGAACTTTGTACACCTGGACTTGGGCAGTTTACTGCATCTATGAAATGCTATCTTCTGGTTTTTGCACAGATGTTCTGTAGTTTCCCTTCTGGACTTTGGTTTTACCACCCGAGTGTCCTGAAGTCGCCCCAGAGTTTTCTCTTCAAGTAATTGTTTTACTTAAAGGTAAACTCTTCTTCTTCTTCTTCAAGGATCTCTCTTGCATTCATCTTTGACTCAGTTCTGATACCTTTAGCTGTTTCAGCTGCTCCCAATCATAGCATGATGCTGCCGCCACCGTGCTTCACCATAAGGATTGGAAGGTCATTTAAAGTGAATGTTTTGAGCCAGACATAGCACTTGGAGGTCAGTTTTCTGCTAATGTGCCGAGATCAGCTTTTCTTATCATGGTTTCAGAGTCATTTTAATAGCATTGAATATACTCCCAGTTACGTAATGCCTTTTACTGTAGTGCTCTTCTTCTGGGCCAATTCCTTCAGCTAACAAACTCCTTCCATTTCACAAACACTGATTCAACCTGGGAACCCTGAAAGCTTGAGAAAGAGTTTGAACAATGTTATAGAGAGTTTTCTTGGAGTTCTTTTGTTTTTTGCAGTTTGTCTTTCTAAATCGATTCCAAACAAACTCCAAATAAGTTTTTGTGAAATCACAGGGATATCTGCCACTTGATCCCGCAGTCTGATGTAAACTGAATCCAGGTCTGCGTTCGTACCTCCGGCTTTGATGAGCGGCAGGAAGTGAGTCAACATGTCTCTGGTGCCAAAGAAGTTCGTCTTCAGGGTCACTTCTGCCTGGGTGGCAAATGGAGTCGTGTCGGCCACTGAGCAGAGAAAAAATAACGTCTCTTTCAGTTTACAGTCGTAAATGTAAAGAATACATGTTCAAAAACTGGTTCTCTGTCAGCACTGCTTGATGCAACACAACTCATTTATCTGACGATTTAAATCAGCAGCACA